CTCTGAGCTGAGTCTCTCGAACTTTTGTTGTCAGGAGGAGCTAGAGTTGAGCAGATCTGCTGTGGGTCCACACGCGCCCATTTCCTCCACTGGTACCCGGGGGCTCTGGAAGTGCAGGCCAGCCTCGGAGGCTTCCCCCGGGGATCTCTGTTTCTTGTGCAGGCTCAGCTGCCGTGCAGTGGAGCAGGCTGCTCCGCCCCACCCTGAGCGTTTCCGCCAACTGCCTCTGCTGACCACAGAGCTCCCTAACGGCAGGGCTGCCAGTAAACACACACCGGCCAGAGAAAATCAGAATTGACGTACGTCCACCCGCAAGTTTCAGAAGAGTCAAAGTGGACATGCTGATTCCCTGTCCAGGGTTGGGGCTGGGACAGGTCAGGGGCCATCTTTGTTTGCTAGACTTTTTTGTTGCCAAATTGTTGAGGGCATGCAGACGACATTTTTTTTTTTTTCTTTTCTTTTTTGAGATAGAGTCTCCCTCTATTGCCTGGGCTAGAGTGCCATGGCTTCAGCCTAGCTCACAGCAACCTCCAACTCCTGGGCTCAAGGGATCCTCCTGCCTCAGCCTCCCTAGTAGCTGGGACTACAGGCATGAGTCGCTATGCCCGGCTAACTTTTTCTATAAATATTTTTAGTTGGCCAATTAATTTCTATTTTTTTAGTAGAGAGGGGGTCTCACTGTTGCTCAGGCTGGTTTCAAACTCCTGACCTTGCGCGATCCTCCCGGCTCGGCCTCCCAGAGTGCTAGGATTACAGGCGTGAGCCACCGCACCCGGCCTGCAGATGACACAGATTTGTTTTGTGATCAAGGATTAGAAAAAACAACAACCGGGCCCTGGAGGTTAGCCCCCAACCTCGGTGTGCTGCCCGACCCCTAGTGACGGCCGTGGACATGCGCCCTGCGAGGCCGGGGCGGACGTGGGCCCTGCGAGGCCGGGGCGGACGTGGGCACCCAGCAGTTGCTCTTGCCGGCCCCGCTGCCCGTCTGCGCCGCAGGCGTCTGGGCACATTTTTCAGGCAGAAGTAGTGCAGGGCATTGAATACATGTAACGTACACTTGGTGTAAGCTTCATTTAAATTAAAGGGTAGCAAAAAAAAGCACCACATGTTCCCACATGTTTAAGCGTGCTTGCATGCTGATCGTCGGAGGACTGTGTGCCTTCAGACTCTGAGCTGAGTCTCTCGAACTTTTGTTGTCAGGAGGAGCTAGAGTTGAGCAGATCTGCTGTGGTCCACACGCGCCCATTTCCTCCACTGGTACCCGGGGCTCTGGAGTGCAGGCCAGCCTCGGAGGCTTCCCCCGGGGATCTCTGTTTCTTGTGCAGGCTCAGCTGCCGTGCAGTGGAGCAGGCTGCTCCGCCCCCCTGAGCGTTCCGCCAACTGCCTCTGCTGACCACAGAGCTCCTAACGGCAGGGCTGCCAGTAAACACACACCGCCAGAGAAAATCAGAATTGACGTACGTCCACCGCAAGTTTCAGAAGAGTCAAAGTGGACATGCTGATTCCCTGTCCAGGTGGGGCTGGGAAGGTCAGGGTCATCTTTGTTTGTTAGACATTTTTGTTGCCAAATTGTTGAGGGCATGCAGACGACATATTTTTTTTTTTCTTCTTTTTTTTTTTTTTTTTTTTTTTGAGACAGAGTCTCGCTTTGTTGTCCAGGCTAGAGTGAGTGCCGTGGCGTCAGCCTAGCTCACAGCAACCTCAGACTCCTGGGCTTGAGTGATCCTTCTGCCTCAGCCTCCCGAGTAGCTGGGACTACAGGCATGCGCCACATGCCCGGCTAATTTTTTTATATATATTCAGTTGGCCAATTAATTCTTTCTATTATTAGTAGAGACGGGGTCTCGCTCTTGCTCA